AGAGTAATGGGCGATGTCTCTCCTTTCGATCCACTGATCCATTGATGTGCATGGTAGGGAAATTTTTGGATGATGTTAGTCACAAGAATGCAAACTGTGGTGTAAATCCTGCTTCCTTTTGATAGTTTGGCACAACTTTGGTGTCCTTTTATTGACGTAATTTACCTGAATTACATTTATTTATGCCTCCAGGTGAGATACTGATAGATACTTGGACTGATGACCTCACTTCTGGATTCCGTCGTTCAAAATGAAGTCATCTTTTGAACTTTTTTAGAGAAACTAATTAAAAAGTGTATTGGGCTCTGACAGAAGACGTGCAATGTAATAATTGAAGTGTGTAAAAATAGTAGTTAGCGTCTACAGAGAATTGAACTCTTATTTAAATTAAATCTATTCACAACTAGTTAGTAGAGGTTGGTCACGACTCACGAACCAGAATGGGGAATTTCGTTCCCGAAACACGGGCTGGACTGGCTGAACTGAACGGAATCGACCAATGGCATTGAACCACTACTGGTTTTTTTCTAAATTCAAACAATTATAGCTAAAATTTAGAAAGTTATTTGCCGATGCTGAATTATCCAAGCATTGAAACCCTATTTAATGTGGTAGAAATGAAATCCTCACATCTTCAAGCATGATCCTTTGAAAGTTTCATTAGAATCTGCGGCCGGGTAAGCAAGAAATCTGTTGTGAAAGGTGATCGTGTCGGGTAAGTTTCGAAATTTCAAACTTTCCCGCTACTAAACGGCCCATGTTACAAAAAATATTTGTCGTTTTGGGCCTTTAAGTGCTTTTAACTTTTTGAAAACTTAGTGGATCTTGATGAAACTTTCCCACTTTGTAGGCCCAATTTAGGTGCGTCAGTGGACACCCAGATCGTTGGAATCCGTGCCATCGTTTGAGCTACAGTCAACTTCAAACCGAATCAATTTTCAGAATAAGGGGGGGGGGACGTGTGTCTATGGTTGGCTGCCACCTTTTTCATTTGGAGCCTTCCACTGTTGTCAAGTTTAGACTTTCTCTGGAGGTGGCTACCGCCACCCATGATATGAACTTATTCCGATTACATAAACCTATTCTCCAAAAATTATTGTTTGTGCAAATTGTCTTGAAAATTTGAGGTTAATTTGTGAATTCTGAATCAAAATCGAATAAAAGCCCAAAAACACCTGAAAAATGACCAAATACCCCTAGGAAATCATGAGTTCCGTCGGAACAGGCAACATCGAGCAGATGAACAGTTGATTTTCTGAAAGTACACATACCACTGATTATATCCAGGTGTACAATAGTTCAATAGTTGTCAATAGTTATTTTTGCTACTCCATGAAAGTGGAAAAAAGGGTCAAAAATGAGCAGTATTTCAAAATGCAATATTCGCCACAAAAAAAGGATTTAAATATTGGAAAAACCAAAAATAAATAGTGCTTGCCAGTATGAATGAATTCTCTATAAAATGCCATCACTTATTCAAACATATCCATTGAACATTACTATTGACATCTTAATCATTTTTCCTTTCAGAAAATAATACAAAGTTGGAAATTTTGAAACATTACAATAAAGAGTTGTATTCTAACTTCATCCATTGATGTAGTAAAACGTAGAAGTAATGAGAAATAAAATTAGAATCATTGAATTAGCTTTTATCTCAATTAAAAAAAAAATTATTTTGCGCTCTTTAAGATTTAAAAACCTGTAATGAAAAATGACGAAAAATGGCAACACAGCAACGTTGAACTATTTTCTCTCTCGGTAAATTGATGTGTTTTGAAAATAAGCACTTAATAATTTTTTTTGGTGCGAGCTTGAGCTTGATATCTTATTTTTTTCGGGGAGATATCTAGTTGAAAGGGTTTTATCCGATTTCTCCTCAAAACGGGGCCCAAAACCCCCTCAAAATTTCCCCTCAAAATGTTCCCCTCAAAAAGTTCTGTTCGTCGCAAAATAGTACGTACCAAGAAGAGGAACTCATGTAATTTCTATGAAATTTCAACAATTTTTAACGGAGATATCGATTTTTGACACTGGAACCCTAGTAATCAATGTGCTGTGTGTCGTCCTAAGGCGAGCGTTTCAAAAATGCAACTTAGCACTCCCTATAGTTCCAGCGGCAATCTATGAGGAAGAAAAGCTCAAGTACTCGCTAGAGCGAATCGATGTGTCGTTAGGGAGAAGAAAGGAGAGAACTGAAGAAATTCTTGCGTAGATACTGAGTTTGCAGTACATCCCATTAAAACGATAGGTAAGAAGAAGTATCAGTTAAAGTAAATAACTAAGGATACAATTTGCCGTCGTCATTATTTTGGAGTCTTTTCACTTCCAATCCATCCACAACTTTTTTTCAAATTTTTGTGTAATTGTATTCCATTCTGTTTGTGCCATTGAAATTATTTTTCTGTTGTTGTTTAGCTCTATTGAACTAATTTTCAAAATTAAATATTCCTAGTTATTTAGTATTTACCTGTTCCTTAAGTTTGGTACTCTAAAATTCATACAGGGTTATTCAAAAGTTACGCACCACTGGCCATAACTTTAGTTCTAATTATGATATCGATTTGCGGTTTGTGGCGTCCTTCCTCATATCGAGGGGGAAACTTTTTGAGGTACTTTTCAGTTCTTCACCCCCCCAGGGGGAGGGGGGGCGGGGGGCAACTCAAAAATTTCAAATGGCAACCCCCATCATGTGATACATCGTTAGAAAGAGCATGAAAAAAGAAAATTTTTGGCGCAAACCGGAAGTCGATCTGACCCCCCTGTCAAAAGTTAGGGGGGTCCAAAGGTTATTTAGGGGGTCCGTACCTTCATTTTTTAGAGTAGCTTCGGCGGCTCTTGGACATACCGTTTCTCTTTTCAAAGAGTCCTCGAATACTCCAAGTCTGATACCGAAGTCTTCATATTGCCCCCGGGCCACCACAGCCCCCCCGTAGGGGGGGATGGGCCTGTTACAATGAAACATTGCATTAAAATGCGAAAAGTCACAGAAGAGCTTCAAACTTAGCATCAAATCCGAGTGGAACTTCTTGCCAATGTTAACGCAAACGCAGCCTGCGACTTTAAAGTGAGTTTTCAAAACTCTTAGCCCCCTGCCCCCCCTCATTTTTGGTTGCAGAGCGGGTAAAAACCGGGAAATTCACTACAAATAATGCCCGAAACTAATGTCCAACTTGAGGAGGACCCTTGAAACGTTGCGATCAGTCGGAGCATTGAAATACAAGGACTGCCACCCCCTTAAAGTACGGAAACATCCAAAACACCCCCGCTGCCCCCCTCATTTTTCGTTGCGGAGCGGGTAAAAACCGGGAAAATCGCCAGAAATGATGCCCCGGTTCTTACCAGCTCTGCAACGAAAAAAGAGGGGGGCAGCGGGGGTTTTATGGATGTTTCCGTCCTTAAAGTGGGCGGCAGTTCCTGTGTTGCAGTTCTCCGACTGAGCGCAACGTTTCAAGGGTTCTCGTCAAGTTCTACAGTGGTTTCGGGCATCATTTCTGGCGATTTTCCCGGTTTTTACCCGCTCCGCAACGAAAAATGAGGGGGGCAGCGGGGGTGTTTTGGATGTTTCCGTACTTTAAGGGGGTGGCAGTCCTTGTATTTCAATGCTCCGACTGATCGCAACGTTTCAAGGGTCCTCCTCAAGTTGGACATTAGTTTCGGGCATTATTTGTAGTGAATTTCCCGGTTTTTACCCGCTCTGCAACCAAAAATGAGGGGGGGCAGGGGGCTAAGAGTTTTGAAAACTCACTTTAAAGTCGCAGGCTGCGTTTGCGTTAACATTGGCAAGAAGTTCCACTCGGATTTGATGCTAAGTTTGAAGCTCTTCTGTGACTTTTCGCATTTTAATGCAATGTTTCATTGTAACAGGCCCATCCCCCCCTACGGGGGGGCTGTGGTGGCCCGGGGGCAATATGAAGACTTCGGTATCAGACTTGGAGTATTCGAGGACTCTTTGAAAAGAGAAACGGTATGTCCAAGAGCCGCCGAAGCTACTCTAAAAAATGAAGGTACGGACCCCCTAAATAACCTTTGGACCCCCCTAACTTTTGACAGGGGGGTCAGATCGACTTCCGGTTTGCGCCAAAAATTTTCTTTTTTCATGCTCTTTCTAACGATGTATCACATGATGGGGGTTGCCATTTGAAATTTTTGAGTTGCCCCCCGCCCCCCCTCCCCCTGGGGGGGTGAAGAACTGAAAAGTACCTCAAAAAGTTTCCCCCTCGATATGAAGAAGGACGCCACAAACCGCAAATCGATATCATAATTAGAACTAAAGTTATGGCCAGTGGTGCGTAACTTTTGAATAACCCTGTATATCCATTGTGTTATTTTTCTCTCGTTTGTGGTGTTTCTATGTAGCCTCGTTTTAATCTTTACAATTTGCCATCCAATAGAATTTTTTGGCAAATCAGGTGAAAGAGTAGCATGCAGTAAAGCATGACAACCCAGAAGAGGACATACCATATGGGCAATTGGGTATTGAGCAGCCGTTAGCGCATGAACGATTGAAAATATGTCAAAATCCTTGAAATTTCTGGCCCAAGGGCCTCAGTTTTTCGAAATCTTCAGGAATTGACTTTACGCAACCCTGTGCCCGATGCTGTTCTCTGCGGGACCTCTGCTCTGAAGGAGCGCCGAGGGTGGTTTCTTGGGCCTCAAAGTAGCCGTTTAAGGCTTTTTCCATATAGATACGTCAAAATAGACGACATTTTTACTCTGTGGACGTCCTTCTACAATGCAATTTGGACTTGCACCCTTTATTAGCGCCAAGGCACGGGTAAATTTTTTTTTTTAATCCGTCATAATGGTGTTTTTCTATACTTCATAGCACACTTCAAACACTCAACATTGTGATATTTCCCAAAACTCGAAAATAAGCCCCACCCTACCCCTAACCCCCGCCCCAACGCGGCAACTTCCCACGCCACCTCATGTTTGCCCCTCTTTAAATTTAATATTCTTGGATGGATATCCTTATTATCTATTTATTTCTCTCACAGAATCAACATGAAAATTCCAACTCTAGAAAATGTATATCAAGCAATGGTCGTTCAGAAAAATTTGGTGGACCAGTTTAATGTCAAACTCAATGGTCTCTCTTCAAAAGTTAAGACTCTTCAAAACAACAGACCTTACATCATGACATCTAATAATATCGAAAACATAAGTGGGTGAGTTCATAATTATGAAGTAGCTTCAAAAAATTCTCTTTTTGTCGATTTTTAAGTTTTCTTATTTTCATTTGTTATTTGTCCGTAAGTAGTAGGTATAATCTTATGAACTTTTTCCCTGCCATAAGTAAACTGTAAATATCTTTTAATTAAGTTTGATTATGGTTTTTTCATTTTGTCTGGCTGAGCTGACATTGTATCTTATTTTCACAAGTTTTACAATTCTCCAACAATTGATTTCCCCAATGAGAAAAACATAGTATCTAACAAGGGGAGGTATTGAAGTGTTTCTCCTTTATTTTGATTGGAGCATGCCCAAATGTTTCTTTACTCCAAATTATTGCACCCCTATTTCTGCAAATGGAGTTTTAGGGTATTTTCACATTTTATTTTGTATGTTGCGTGTTTCTCTAAGAGGAAGCACTAAAATTTGACCAAATGTGTTATCGACGAATTTAGTTTCTTGTATAGATAGTGTCAAATCTGATGTCACTGTGCAACCTGACGCAGCGTGGTGCAGCACAATTAGTAGATAGCGGTCGATCTCTGTCACCTGTTACGCCTTATGCTAACATGCATAATTGACTTATATTTTATTTTATTTTATTTTTTTGTTTTACAATTCTTTTTTCAAGCATCTAAAGGCACCAGGTATGATAGACAGTGTAACATCATGTAAAGACAGAGCTGAAATTTCTGAGCTTGAGCTATTTTTTTCTCTCTTGAACGCTGAGGGTTATGCAGTTCTGGATCTATTTCATTGAGCAGCAAATTCAATAATATCATGCAAAAAAGTCAGATGCCAAGAATAAAATGTATGCAAAATACCAAACAGGCCGCTGTTGGTCCATCTGAGATTTTACCATAAGTACTCATTTTTTACACATCGGAATTGACAATTTGTAGCAGTAAAGTAACCTTAAAATTCAAGGCATTTATTTTTTAAAACTTACGTTTTAAGGTTACTTCAATCCTTAAGAGGTTATCTCCAAACAATTGACTTTTTTTCCTATTTATTTTTATTTTTCTTAATTGTCTTGTCATACAGGGTGTTCGAAAAGTCCCCTCCCCCCCCTCTAACTTTTGACCTAATTGAGGTAGAGATTTGAAACTTGGAGGGTGTTCCTAGATCAAAGGGAGCTACTTCTTGACCTCCCCAAAATTTTTGGGGGCCCCATTTTGGGGGGGTTACGGACCCTAACTTTTAATTTTCAAATGGGAAGACCCCCTTTGTGATACCTCGTTCAAAAGGGCATAAAAAAAGAAAATTTTTCGCGCAAACCGGAAGTCATTATCTCAAACCGTTTCAAAATGGCGGCCGGTCAAAGTTCCAAATGGCCGAAAATTGGCACCTCTGCTTTTTGCGCATGGATTTGCTTGAAACTCGGTATCTGGGGGTATTTTGGCACGAGAAAAACGAATTTAACGTTAGATTTTCAAAAAAAACCTAATTTCTCAAAATGGCGACCGGTTTAGGCTCAAAAAGGCCGAAAATTTGACAAACTCGATTTTTTTGCCAATGGATTCACCTGAAATTCGGTACATGGAGGTATTTTGACCCGAGAATAACGAATTCAACGTTAGATTTTTAAAAAAACCCTAATTTTTCAAAATGGCCGCCGATTAAAGTTCAAAATGGTCAACAATTGGCAACCTCGACTTTTTGCCAATAAATTCGCCTCAAACTCGGTGTATGAGGGTATCTGGGTGGGAGACAAACGAATTCAACGTTATTTCACCGCGTTTCAGGCGAATCTATTGGCAAAAAGTCGAGGTTGCCAATTGTTGACCATTTTGAACTTTAATCGGCGGCCATTTTGAAAAATTAGGGTTTTTTTTAAAAATCTAACGTTGAATTCGTTATTCTCGGGTCAAAATACCTCCATGTACCGAATTTCAGGTGAATCCATTGGCAAAAAAATCGAGTTTGTCAAATTTTCGGCCTTTTTGAGCCTAAACCGGTCGCCATTTTGAGAAATTAGGTTTTTTTTGAAAATCTAACTTTAAATTCGTTTTTCTCGTGCCAAAATACCCCCAGATACCGAGTTTCAAGCAAATCCATGCGCAAAAAGCAGAGGTGCCAATTTTCGGCCATTTGGAACTTTGACCGGCCGCCATTTTGAAACGGTTTGAGATAATGACTTCCGGTTTGCGCGAAAAATTTTATTTTTTTATGCCCTTTCGAACGAGGTATCACAAAGGGGGTCTTCCCATTTAAAAATTAAAAGTTAGGGTCCGTAACCCCCCCAAAATGGGGCCCCCAAAAATTTTGGGGAGGTCAAAAAGTAGCTCCCTTTGATCTAGGAACACCCTCCAAGTTTCAAATCTCTACCTCAATTAGGTCAAAAGTTAGAGGGGGGGGAGGGGACTTTTCGAACACCCTGTAGAGAAAATAAAGAAAGTGGTGGTGAGGCAGCCATCTGGAACATTGGCTGTAATGTAAAAAATCACACAGATATGCAAACTGTTTAAAAAAAGTACATTTTGTCACCTTCCAGCCGAAGTATCACAAGTGCCATTTTTACCGAAATTGAGTTATGAATAGTTTCAAATTAACGAGATGCATTTACATACGAAAATAATAATTTATTCTAGAACAAAAATGTAGAAATATGAATAATAATCTATTAGAGTTGGCGTACTTTCGTATCACAAGGGCTGTTTGGGAGAGAAGCATCACAAGCATCAAATTCGGCTGCTGCCTACCTTTCTGATTGTTAACAATTTTTGTTCCAGCAACCCTCAGAATGACTTAAAGCTAAATTATTTTCGTCTGTAAATGTATCTCATTATTTCAAATATAATATTATTTTTGAATAAAAATAAATAAAAATGGATAATATCCTGTCGAAGTTGATTAACTTTTGTATCACAAGCGCCATATAAGAGCAAAGTATCACAAGTGCCAGGATGGGTACTCACTCAACTTTGGGATTGTTCTTACAATTTTAGTATCAACAACACTCAGAATGACCTGGAGCATTTTGAGCAATTTCACACTTTCCGGCCAGAATATCACATGCCCTATTTTGATCAAAACTGAGTTATGTATGGTTTTGCATTAATAAGATGCATTTACTTTCAATAATAATAATTTTTCTTAAATTAAAAATGAATTTGGAAACCGTGGAAATTTTATTATGGAAAAAACTCCGTTAAATTTGATGAGCTTTGGTATCACAAGCACCAGGGGCTCTCAGAATGCCCCGAGAGCAGGGTATCAGAAGCGCAGTTTTCGAAGAAAAAAAATGTTTTTTCAAAGAAATTTTATTACAATTTAAGGCGGTAAGTTGTGGTGGATCAGTATTTCAAGTTTTAAGCCGAAACTCTCGTCTTGTGCGGTCGCAAATCAGTTTTTTGTGTCTCCCGAAAAGTTGGCAAAGTGGCGCTTGTGATACTTTAACTGGAAGGTGACAATTTCATGATGGAAACTGCATACTCTAGGTCCATGGAACGGTGACAGGTGAAAATATTCAGTCTGGAATGTCCAACTGTAAAAATGTCAAATGAAAAATGCTTACTGTTGTAATGTTTTCTTCTAAATGTCCGATACATAAAATGTCAACTCAACAAAAATATTTATGTTGTGTAATGTCCCAAGTAACATGTAAACGGCATGTAACTGCAAATATCCAAAATATCCGACAAGTCTGAGGCAGAAGTATAGAAGGTGCTCCAAGTTATTTTCCTTCACTCAACATTTTTTCAAATGGTCTCCGAATTTAATACCAAATAAGAGGTGGGCATGACCAGATAAAACACCCCATTAGCCATAGATACGTCACGAATCAACGAAAAGCAGAAAACATCGTCCGAAAGCTACGAGCCTTTTAAAGAGGCCGCAACGCGGACATCTACTTGAGGGCATTGGCCAATCTTTTGAAGAAGCCAGCTGTGGAACAAGTCAACGAGCAAGAAAATCCTTAATTTTGTCAATGATTGAGGCGAAGTTATGGTGACTTACTGACAGTTCTTCAAACTAAACTCCTAACCTAACTTATTTTACTGTAGACATTTGCTGTTATATGCCATTTTATTACCTTTGACATACAACATGAGTACTTTCGTGAAGAGGACATTTTATGTAAGGGTCATTTTTAAGAGGACATTACGACATTGGGCATTTTCCATTGGATAGTTTTACAGTCGGACATTCTAACCTGGATATTTCCACTGAACACCTACGGAACGCCGTTTGTAAGAAAACCTAACCAAGGTAGGATGTGATTTCATTATAATTCTTCTTCTTCTTCCGTGCTTGGGGTAACAGACATAAAACATAATCAGTAAAATATAATGTGTTAAACATTAGATAGTTGGATAGTTTGGGGTTTTCTGCCTCCACAGCACTATTCAACGCTCAGTTGGAGTAGTTGCGAGCTGAGCAGTTGTTTGTATGAAGCTTCTACAGGACGTTAGTCTAGACGGTTGTACTTGGTGTTGAAAAGGGTGTCGATCATTTAGAGCCTGTTTCTTCCTTTCGATCTCAGCTGTAACGTCTCTTCTAATTACTGATGGTGCTACTTCAATCAGTGGGTAGACTTTGTCGATGAGAGTTGGTCTCAGGCAGCCGGATATGGTACGTGGGGCTTCATTAACTACTACATCCACATTCTTTGCATGGCTTGAATTCCTCCAAACAGGCGCAGCACATTTTACAGCAGAGACACCAAATGTATGGCCCATTGTACGCAGAACATGTGGCTCGGCTCCCTAGGTTGTTCCTGTAACCTTCCTCAATATGCTATCTCTAGCTTATACTTTTTTCTTGGTGTCGTGGCAATGATGTTCAAATTTGAGGGTTCCGTCTGGTTTTACTCCAAGGTATTTTGGAGTGCTGCAGTGTTCAAGTTCTTGGCCTTGCCAGCTAACCTTCAGTTTTCTTTTGGCTTGTCTGTTTCTCAGGTGAATTGCGCACTCTTGGGATTTACTTGGGTCAGGGGTAAGGTTGTTGTCCTCATAGTAGATTACAAGTTCACTCACGGCTCTCTTTCATGAGCCTTTCTTCCACCTCCTCAAAGGTGTTACCTTGTGCAGCGACCGCTGTATCGGCGGCGTAAATGAATCTTCTTGGGTAAGAACTAGCTGGCTGGTCGTTTGTATAAATGTTGAACAGTATTGGGGCCAGAACGCTTCCTTGGGTGAGTCCATTTTTTTTTCTCCTCCACTGACTGTTTTTGCTCCTCAGCTGGACGAAAAAACACCTATTTTGTAGCATACATGCAATGAACATAGTTAGCGTGTGGTCTTTTGTTATTTGATACACTTTCTGGGAGAGCAACTTATGGTTCACGGTGTCATGGGGAGCTGTGAGGTTCATGGTTTTAGGGCCATTGGGTTGTTGCGCAGGTTTTTTATTAGCTTTCACGCTTTCCTACTGCTGTGCTTCATGTCTGTTTCCTGCAGCAGTTTGCACCATTTTTTTTTTTTTGTTCCCTTGGAGACATTTACAAGGAGTTCCTCACCTGCTGTAATGGTTTCATCCAAGAAGGGGTCTCCGCTCTACAACTCCTCATATTTCTTCAGGACGTCCTTAGACTTATCGGTTAATCAGGCAATATATTGTGTGCGGCATCCTCTAGTTATATGTTGTCTAGATACTTCTTATACTAAGTCTACAAAATCTTTATAGTTTTGTGGCTCAGGCTTAAGTTGAGTGATTTTGCTATCGATATCTTCTGAGAAGGGACCCCATTGGACCTGTTTGAAGTAGAATGATCTTTTAAGCGGGATGGTGTCAGGTTTGATCACATCGGTTATACAGCACGTAATTGCATGGTATTGTGTCCGAGGGATTGGATCTTCAACTGATTTGGTGCATTGTTTGGCTATCTTTTCACTTACTAAGATATTATCTGGATTGTATCCTCTTTTTCACCTACCGCTGTTGAATGAGGGAAAGATCTTAGGGTCATGCAGTGGTAGTAGGTCAGTGTGGTCTACCCATATTTCTAGCTTTTCATCATTTTCATCTATTTCATCTTATCCGTAAGCTGTATTATGCCAGCTGAGGTCTCCCATGACAATTTTAGTGCCTTTGTTGTCAAAGTTGTGCGGTTTGTGGAATCTGAAATTGGCGCCGGATGGTCTATAAACAGAAGTTACTGCGCAAGACTGAAATTCTACTGTTAGGATTTCTATATCGTCATCACATGTCATAGCAGCTAAGCAGATATCTATGTGTGTTATTTTTCACAAATATTGCACTCCTATACTGATTGTGCTGTCGTTCTATTATTAGCCTCATGCTGCTATTTTTAGTTTGTATTTGGTAGGTCTTCTATGCTGCCGTGCCAAGGAAGGAGGCCGTATGAACATTCGAAGGTTGTCAAATTTCCTTCGATAAATTGTTTGTTTTTTAGGAAAGTTATAAATGTTTTTCTTTGAAATTTTCAGGAACTTTATGTAAAACTAGCCGCTGTGGCTCGCTTCGCTCGCCTCGCGTCTAGCCGGGGGCTCCGCCCCCTGGACCCCCGGTCACTCGCTTCGCGAGTGACTTACGGCTCGCAAGCGAGCCGTATTCCGTGCCGTAAATGCAAAAAGATGATAAAGTAATGTAATCCAATAAGAACTCTTCTGAATACATGAATACGAGAGGCATTCCTTCCTAAATTAGTTTACCTGTTTTCAGTTCCGTAATGATCTTCCTTGTAAATTTTCAAAAGAAAAACGAAATTACGCGAAATTGCCAAGAAGCATTATGGATAGTTTTCCTGTAAGGGATTTTTCTTCGGGGGGGGGGATTAACTTTGAGTTAAATAAGGCGAAGTCCCTCCGGAATATGACAATGTAAGCCCTGCGCACTTGGTATTGGCCAGGAGGAGTAGCTCACTGGCGTCCTCCAGGACTCCAGCCAACACCACGCCAAAGCTACAGACTTAAACAATCATACGTCGGGTGGCGCCAGTAGTAGAGAAGTTTAGGACTTAAGAAAAGAGACAATTTCGAATGTTACATGAAAAAAAGCATCTCATGCATTTGGCCATCATATAAATGGATGTATTTTCAAATGAATTTCGCGCAAAAGTATGAACGAACGGGGTACAAAACGTATTACCTTATAAAAGAAGGATTTTCGGTTACTCGGCACTGACCGGCAAAATACATGTAAATTTGGAGTTACTCCTCCTAGTCGTTAGCTACTCACTCAAGGAACATTCTGCGTAAAAAATTCGAGTGAATTGTTTGAATGTGTAAATTATTAGACTCATTAATTAGTATACGCACTAAAAAGAGACAAACTTCATGCACAGGACGCAACAATCTCGCACATTTGCACCCAGAAAATATGAGTAGAAATTGTGTAGAACGTTTCTGGCGAAAACAGGTGTACAATAGCCTCGCACTGGGTTGGACACTAAAAAACCGAGGATATTCCGTAAAAAAAGAAAGGAAAGAAAGTATGAGTAGAAATTGCTAAATATCCATTCATCGACTGGCGCGGCCGCAAAAGAACGTATCTCGCGAATACAGAGGCAAAATAGTATCACTCAATATCGGACACTCACAAATCGGAACTGTTCCGTGAAAAAAGAAAGAAAAATTGAGCAGATATTGTTAAGTACCCATTGATCAACTAACATAACCGTAAAAGAACGTATCCGACGAAAGCAGATGAGCGATGGGCAACCTCTCAAAAAGTCGCGAGATTTCGAAATCTAATCAGTGTTGCTCTCGAGATGCAGGATGCAGCTAAGTTGGCAGCGTACACGAATAGACTGATTTTCGGAGCAACTCAGAGGAAGCAATTCAAAGGAAGCAATTCAGTCCTGAAAACATTTTGTTTCCTGTTTTTTCCCACGGTTTTCCTTTGCTCTTCGATAAAGGTAGCTGATGTAGGGGTAACGGGAGGGACAAACATAATTCTGCATTGGTAAGGAAGAACGCCGTATGAGTCTTCAGACGTTGCCAAATTTCCCCTGGAAAACCACTAAACTTCAGGAAAATTTTTGAAAATTTTGGATAATTTTGTTTTTAATTTGATCTAAAACGTCTGAAAATTTCTTGGGGAAAATATTCATAATTTTCCTCAAAAATAAACATTTTATCGAAGAAAATTTGGCAACTCCCGAATGTTCATATGTCGTTCTTCCTTAGCAGGGCAGAATTGCAAACACTACGCTTTAAAAAAGAGACCATTTTCGGTTTTCTTCAAAGTATTCGGACATAACTCCAATAAAAATACAATGAGAGGATTAGCGCGAGGTTTGGATGTCGCTCCCTGGTCGGAAAATCATGTTTTGACTCGTCTGCCGACAAAATCTCGTCAAAGCGTTCAAGAACAGCTGGGCCTGGACAGTCAGGAGACCAGGCGGCAGCAATAGATCTCAATTCGTCATCCTTTTTTCCCTTCCTGCTCGGCCTAGTGGAGCTCCAAAAAAATTGATGAAATTTCTCTCATCGGGTTCGATTTCAACTTTCTCAGTAAATTTACGCTCTGCTAAAAAAGTATATTACAATGAACTAAATTTCGTCGTGATATGTTGATAAGTAACGGAAATATCGTTCAGCAAGTTATAAATGCAGCAGTTGTGGTATCGATCTTAGTGTACCGTAGAATCATGTATTTTCATTAGTTTGACCACCATTCTGCTCAAAATTTCACCGCGAATCGAAAAATATACACTGTAAAAACAATTTCCGAATGATAGAAAAAATTGCATTTTTACTGTCTTTAAATTTTGAGGGTCAGATTTTGTTTGGCATATGAGACAATAGGGCTGCGATCCCGTAGCGAGCAGTCTCGGGCTCGAGGGTTGTTAGACAAAAGGACGGGAAAACCCATGTCATCGCACCGCTTCGACAGTTTTATGGAACCACGTATCTGGGGCGGCTTCCTTTTATTCAGACAGAGCAGTGCTGAGACTGAGTCCGAGTTTGACCTTCGGCGTTGGGTGAAGGCTGTGTAGTAGTAATATGGAGAGGGGTCTATTTGCATCTCTCAGCGGTTTACACAGATATGGCTGAAAAATTGGAAATTCTCATAGTTTTGCGAGCATCTAGGAGCTAGAAGCTTTCAATCGACCCAAAAATCGTAAAAATCGCCCCGGTAGATCTCTCAAATTAGGCGTTACAACGGAAACATACCGCAACTCTCGGAAACTTAAGGTCGGAGGGGGGTGGATTTGGCTTTAAAAACGTCTTAAGCGAAAGAGGCTGAAAAATTTGGAAGTCTGAAAATTTTGCGGACATCGGGACGTCAAGGGCTTTAACCAGAGTCAAGCATCGTCGAAATCGGTCCGGTAGAACTCCAGAAATAAGCGTTACAGTGAAACCCCCAACGATTTTATTTATATAGATTGCGAACAAAATTATCTGAAAAATTGGAAGAAAAGTATGCATAAGTTTACCAGGGAATTCGTGTTTTAGCAAAGGAAACTTGGCAACGCCTAAAGGTCCATATGACGTTTTTCCTTAGCACGGCAGGATGGGTTTCCTGAAGGAGTAGTATATCACAGTCATTTTTTTACGTATTGCACTAAGTAAAAGAGATTTATTTGTTGACAGTCCCTCTATATTACATGAGGTGGTCACCTAGGATGACTTTGATACAGGCCGTTTTGAGAGCGCTTTGGTTAGCCTCACTGTTGCTCCCACTCTGTTGCTCCTGTGTCTGAAGGATCAGCCAGCCAGAGGTATGTAATTCTGACCATTGCCTAGGGGGCGCCCAATTGCTGCACAAAATTCCAATATCTTTCCTTGCAATCCAAGTGTTGGATGAAATCTCCGTAGAGGCTCTTTCAATACCCCCCATTTTATGATAATAGGAACAAGGGTGTCGCCGAGGGCTATAAACAACATAGTCATATGGGAATCTTTTTTTTTTTTTTTTTTTTTTTTTTTATTTTTTTTTACTTTATTAAATGATTTTTCTCACATCTGTTACAGTGATTCAGAGCTGTCCAAGTTAGCGGAGAGCTTGATTAAAGTGAAACTGAATCTTTCTGGGAAATCAGGAAATCCATGCCTGGAAGCGAAACGACACCTAATTTTTCTTGCAAGGAGACAAATGCTGAGTGCAATAAAGGAGGTTAAACTGAAAGAACTGCAGAGCAATCACACCCCAAGAAGAATCAAACCAGCAAAACTTAAAGCCTCTAATGGAATGTTAATTGGCTCGTTCAATGCACTACCACTGCCTTCCAGTGAAGTCCATACTGTGCAGCAAACAAGAAAGCTTGGGAGTCAAAGTATACTTGTCTCAAACACAGCTCCAGCAGAACCTGGGTCAGTTTCAACCTCAGTCAGACCAACAGCCATTAATCAATTCTCAACTAAAATCATACCGCCAGTCAGTAAATTATTACAAAACAATACCATTTTTGAGGGAACCCAAGAAAGTGATAGTTTAGTCCGAACCAGCTCCAATTTTGTTAAAGGATCCAGCACCTTTGCACCCAAACCCGGTAGTCAGTCTTCTGAGGTGCAGTTTACATTCAAAAGCTCACCTGCCACAAATGTAACTACTATCTTTACACAGGTTGTAAAAGGCGGAACCTCTACGCATGTCACCAGTGCCCTGCAAAGAATACCTACTGCGACAATGTCAGTAGTTTCTACTGACAAGGGTAAAGAAACACCAAAATTAATTCCGGATTCACCTGGAAAGATTGATTTAACGAGTATGTTGGAGAAAAATGGCGAACCTGCTCATCCCAAAGCGGATCCTACCGTCACAGAGACAATCACAAGTGGGCTTAACTTTGGTTCATTAGATCCAAGTTCCACCTTGGCTGCTTCAACACCAGCGGTGAGTGGGTTTGGTGATGATGCGTCCAAAACTTTCAACTTCTTTGGAGCTAAGGTTGACTCTTCTAAACTTGAAGCCAGCCTCCATGCCAAATCTGACCCTCTCAAACCTAATTCTAGCCTCTCAAGTTCATTTGGTTTAAAAGAAGGCATTACAACACCTTCCAGCAGTCCTAGCTCTACCTCTGTTGATATGACCAGTTCTACAAAGACATCTTTCATTTTTGGAGGATTAACCAGACCAACTGCCAAGTGTTCAGCAGAACCCTCTGCAAGTGATGCTCAAAGCTTCACCTTTGCATTGCCTGTACCATCAATGCCTACATTTACAACGGCATCAACTACAGTTTTCAGTTTTGGGATGCGACCAACTGCTACAGCCACAGTAACAACATCAACTATGCCATTCTCTGCTCTGAATCTGAGTGTTACAAACTCCACCTTGACATCTCCTAATCAACCATCACTTTCGTTAAGTAGCACATGTGGAGCACCAACATCAGGAACTAACGCCAAACCTGAATTCAATTTTGATCGAGCCTCAACAAGTGGCCAATCATCATTTAACACCTTTAGCTTCGGTAACATGAAATCACAAGTTTCACTATTTGGTGGTCAATGTAAGTCTACTGAAACTCTGACAACAGACAGCACACCAACATCTTCCATAATGTTGCCTTTTATTGACACAAGTTCTGCTAACACGGTCAACGATACAACTGGCATTTCAGGAAGCTTAACAGTTTCATCCCCTGTTCAACTTTCACATGAAAGTACGCCGGTTTCAACATCCAGTGTGTTTGGATCATTAACAACCACACCGACCACCTCTAGTTTATTTGGATCACCAACGACCACTGCTTCAGGTAGTCTTTTCGTTTCTGTTGTAACAACCACCACCACAAGCCTTTTTCCACAGCAGGCAGGGAATGTATTCAATCAACCAAATGCAATTGTTGCTACCACATCTCAACAAACTACTAATTTTAGCCAAGCAACTACGGTTGCTTCTGCTGCAGACACATCTTCCAGTATATTTGGTCAAGAGTCTCTCTCGAAGGCATTACCTCCAGCCCAAAGTGTGTTTGGTCAAGCTACTTCAGCTACTACCTCTACCTCACAAACACCTGGCATATTTGGGCAGGCACAATCAGTTACCGCCACCACCACACAAACTTCAAGTATATTTGGTTCTGGAACCTTAATTACATCAACATCTACTTTAATGTCTAGTGTGTTTGCCCAAACAACCTCTGTCACCTCTTCTCAACAGACTCCCAGTGTGTTCCCCCAAGCAAGCTCAGGTACATCCCCTGTTCAACAAGGACCCACGCTGTTTCGCCAGTCTACTCCTGTTGTTTCCTCTAGTCCACAAAATTCCATTATCTTTGGTCAGACAACCAATGTTGCTGCTAACACACCCCAAACTTCTAACTTGTTTGGACGCCCTCAAACAACAAGCACAAGTGTTTTTGGAGGTGGTACCAGCCCTGCAGCTAATAGTACGTTTGGACAAGCCTTGCCCATTTCATCTAAGTCTAGCATCTTTGGCAACACCCCTAATCTCTTTCCAACTCCGGCCATGACCTCACCTAGCATTTTCAGTAGTCCTAATACAGCCACCACAACAACACCCAACACAAGCTTGTTTGGAACTCCATCTACTGCTGCGCCTACATCAGGTTCGTCTTTCTTTGGTCAAGCAATTTGTCGTCCAAGTGATTCTGGTGGCAATTCTGGAAATGTGTTTGGTCAGTCTGGGTCCATATTTGGTCAAACTGTAGCAACAGGAGTTGCAGGATTTAGCAACGCACCATTATTTGGTGGAAAACCTACGTTTGGACAATCAGGCGGATCCTTATTTGGGAACTCATCAAAGTAAGTTGGTGTGTTTTTCTTTCAATCACTAAATGAAGCTTTTGAACTGTGTTGTTACTTGCTGTCCACAATTTCCGATTTTAACGTTTTAGTGATTTGAAATATCTTCTGTTATGATCTTTTGCTAAGACCTTTAAACAATTTTCCAATAGTATCCAAGTTCCAAACAAGATTTGTAAGGAAACCATCCTCTTACCATTCTTTGTTCTTAATTGAACTCCTCTCTCAGTCGCTAATTAGAATCCTTATCTTTAATGAAATAAATAAATTAATTTGATACAAACAGCTAAGCACTGTTCATAGCGCCCTGAATTAGCAGATGAAAACAGCTGATAAAGGATTCAAATGGCAATATGAAAGCAATAGAAGATGAGACAAGGACCTGATGAGGAGCTTTGCAATGGTTGAAAAACACTCGTATCTATCTACTGCATTGTCGTTTTTGTTATTCTCAGTTTTGTTACACCTTCATTTCTTTCTTTTAACAGCGTGTATGTGAGAGTTACACAGTGTAATGAGCTACATACAAGGTTCCAAAAGAATAATGCTTTAATTACGGAGCTGAAGTATATGACAAATAATGATTCATGCAAATTTTAATTTTACATTTATCTTCACAAAAGATTCACATGAAGTACACGCCAAAAAATTATAATTTTTGAATAGCTTGGTTTATTTCAATTTGACAAAACTGCTACAGGCTCTCTTTTTTTTTCCAGCTCTTTTGGATCACCCTCTGGGACCTCTGTTTTTGGCTCTCCAACCAACACTTCAGCTGTAGGAAACAGCAGTGCAACCTCCCATGTCTTTGGACAATCCTCTGGTATTCTTTTTCTCTTGACATTTGACTATATTCAGGCTATCCCAGACCATCCATACCATACTTTTTCACCGCTATTTTGGGCCGAATATTTTGAGGACGGACAGAGACTTTATCCCAAGGAATCTAAATTTCATCATCCCCTCCCCCTCTGGGGTGTAGCAAGGAAAAGCGAGAACTCATACCATCCCGATCGTCACACAGCAAGCTTTCTGGAAAAGATCGAGCCTGAGCAGATCAAGCCACAAATTTAGGAAGCCAGATGCTCGTCCGGACGCCTGGGTTCGGGCGCCAACACACTTGAAATGCGTACTCAAAAAATAATAAAATGATTTTTCTTGAAGTGAGGACAGGGTAGTCAAGGAGGGATAATGAGAGCTAATTTGAACATACTAGAGTCAATTTTATTGAAGAGAAGAGAATACAATTTCTTAAACACAATTACAAACTTAAATTTTCAAATTAAACTAAATATGAGATCAAAATAGGGTGGTTGAAAAGGAATGAGTCGATCGGATTGATTTTGTGGGTTTTCTGCTTAGAAATACTTTGAAAGGAACGGTGAAAAGGACTTTAAATGTTGTCGGACTTTCGAATGAAATTTTATTCGTTTATTTATTTGACCTTAAATTTTCCAGACAAGCAGCGCTACTCACCACAGCACTCAATCTTCAATGGTAGATTTAAAGTTCAAAATAATTATTCTTAAAATAAATTCAAATCACAACCAACATCCCAGGTGCTACTCACCACGTGCACACTAGGGTGTCGGTTGAAAAAATAGACTTTCGAATTATCAGCCAGCCCAACCGGAATTAAGTTCTAGTATGTAAAAAACCCCTAAATCCCGAATTTCAGCGAGATCGAACAACTTTCAGGGGTCGCTAACCCCCCCCCCTTTATGTTTTTTTGTCTCATATTTAGTGATTGGACTTCAATACATTTTCCTCTGATGAAAAAAGTGCTGATGCGATAGGAACATGAGACTTGACCCAAACATTCTTCCCAGGTACTTTTTGGACAAGATTTCTTCAATTTTGACCCACTGTCACTCAAGGCCCCTACAGCCCCCTTCTTTCTGCAGCGTAAAACCACTGGTTTTTTTTGTTTACAAGGTGTACAATTTTTTTGGCCGGCTCAATCACCAATTTTTTTTCATCTTATTGTTTGAACAAGTTAAATTATACGCGCCGACCAAATTTCAGGTCAATCCGACCTTTATTGTACCCGCAGCCCCCCTTTTTCTGCGGAAAAAACGGAAAAAATTAGAAAATTTATCAGAATAACCGCCACCATTTTGGAACAAAATATGACTCTTGTCTTTCTATTCTTCACCCCTTTTGGCGAGCCTTTGGACCAAGTGTATACCAAGTTTTAAGTCGGTTGGATCAAAACAACTCCTGGTCCCCCACGGTTTTTGCCCTGAATACCTTGAAAATCGTGAATTTAATGGAAAAGTGGCGCTGCCATATTGAAAATACTGCAGAACTTTGCAACTTCTCCTTGATATCTTTTTTTAAATACCAATTACATTACATCGCCGAATTTTTGAGTCAAAAGAAGCACATTTACCCCCCTGTCCCCTTATTTTTCCACAGCGACCGGACGGAAAATCGTCAAACTTCAGGGTTTAGCCGCCGCCATTTTGGAAAAAAACTGAAAATCAACCTGCCTCCAGGTGAATTATTTCTAGAGGGTTCTTGACGCGTGCACTTGCCGAATTTCAGGTCGATGGAACCATATTTACTCCCCGCTACCTCTCCGTTTTCGTGTGGGACCCGTGGAAAACCGCGGAATCGATGAATTTGAAGAGCCGCCATTTTGAAACATAATGCGGGTCGCGACTCCATCCAGCCCTAGGAGTATAAAGAAGTCTTGTGTTTGTATTGTTACCAAGTTTCGCGTTGAATTAAGTATATCTACCCCCCTGCCCCCTTATTTTCCCACAGTGAACGGACGGAAAATCGTCAAACTTCAGGGTTTGACCGCCGCAATTTTGGAAAAAAATTGAAAATCAACCTGCACCCAGGTGAATTATTTCTAGAGGGTTCTTGACTCGAGCACTTGCCGAAATTTCAGGTCGATGGAACCATATTTGCCGCCACCTCTTCGTTTTCGTGTGGATTCCGTGGAAAACCGCGGAATCGGTGAATTTGAAGAGCCACCATTTTGGAAAAAAATGCAAATCGAAAAGCACTCGCGTAAAATATTTCAAAAGGGGTCTGTGGACGTGTACTTGCCAAGTTTCAGGTTGATTGAGGCATGTTCCATTTTTTCCTCTTGGAATGTCTCAGATTTTCCAGCCAAAAAAGCGACTATAGATGAGTCAGTTTAATTAGGCTAAAGAGCACAGGGAGCAGAGGGACTGGGCAAGTGACACAACTCAATAGCTACCAGTTGAAAACTCAAAGAAAAATCGGCTCAAATTTAGAAAAAGAAGTTTTGGGACGGTTAACATTTTAAGTTGGCTAGGCAGTTAATTTCCAAAGGCGATGACACAACTAGATTAACTGAAATAAAGAAAGTGAATGGCAAATTGCTGTCTGGAAAAAAGATGCCCTTAGTAACAGTGAGTCAGTAGTGACGTCAAACTGTGTTTCATAAACTACCGTGAGTCCATAGAGAAAAAAAAGGAGGTGTTTGCATTTCGGGCATCTAGTAATTTTTTTGATGACATATGTCGGTACAGCGACTTTTATCATTGATTTTCTTGGAAATGGTGTAATTTATGGAAAAAAGTCATTCTACAAAAAGTGCTTAAAATTATATCATGAGTTGATTTAAGCAAAAAAAATGGGACATTATGGTGCGTTTTTCATACTTCGAATTCCAGATTTTGCTGGCCAGGTTGTACGGACCTACGTCACAGGGTAAACAAACCTCAAGATGCAAGCACCTCCTTTTTTTTTCTGTATGCCCTGAGTCAGACTGATCTAGGGTAGTTTAAAAAACATAGTCTGACGTTCAGCTGAGTCACTTTTACTAGGGTAGTACCAAAATGGTGCACGGAAAGTTACACATCATGGCAATTTTCATAAGACATCTCAATCATTTCATTTGAGGGGAATCAGTCGGCTGACGACGCTCAATTTGAGGCCAAGTGTGCCTGAGCTTCGACTTTTTTTGGCTTGCCTAGCGATCATTTTCGGTAAGTTTGTACGTCAGTTAGTAGATAGTGAAGCTAAATCGTCAGGAATTCCCCAGCCAAGATTTCCCAGTCCCAGAAGGAGAATATACGTAGGCGCCCATAGGGATAGCTCCTCGCCGTCTCCCAGGACTCAGACGCGAACGAACTCCCGAAGACAAAGGACAAAAGGCAAGGAGAATCCTAGTGGTTCAACACAAACGTTAAGTCAGTTGAATCGTTACTTTTCCGTGTTTAAAAGGGTTACCTAAGTATATTTTCGCCCTTTTCTGTGGCTTCCGATTTTGAGCTCCCGCAACTATATCAGCGGACTAATCGTGGTTTTTCCTTCAGCGAATCGGGCGGACCGAACAGTCGCTGCTGGGAGGTTCAGGCTTCTCCGCGGTGCAACGATGCTTTCGTGGTTCTTAAGGGATAGGAGGACTGGACATCAAGCTGCCTACCGTTGCCCATGCTACTGATCGCTAGGTGCCCAAGTCTCAGTAATTTGTTGGGCTACTTCTTTAAAATAAGGAAGAGGGTCGAGGGGAACGCGCCATGCGAAGCACAGACACTAACCCGTGTAAAACACTCTTCCTCCACGGCTAGGTAGGGGAACACGCGAAAAGCCGGCGTTACCATCGGCTCAGCCGATTCGGCTGGGGTTGATTGAAAACTTAGGGTTGTTTCTGAGTTGTTATTTCCGGGCAAAATGCGACTTTGTCGAACTGCAGTTAATAGAGGTTCATAATCACCTAAAATCAGGGAGAAAAGAGGCTCACGTATGCGTAGGCTTAGATAGTCATAGTTTGAGGCGCTTCAACCTGCAGCACGCGCCAATCAGAAGGAAGAGGCCAACCGGGGGGGGGGGGCAATTACTTTTGAGTCACCTTCGAAAGTTAGTCAGGGATTTTCTTGCAATGGTCTTCCAGCCGCATCGCTAATGGATTTAAGTAGAACCGTTGATGGATACCGTGCTCTAAAGTTGATTGACAGCAAATCCAAGGAACCCTATGACACATATGCAGCATGGCTACAAGTGCCTGATGTTCGTGCGCCGGATTTGCAAGTGCAGTAGTATCCGAGAATCTTTTTTGTTTCATCCAGGTCTTCTTGATCATTCGTGGATTTATACGCAATGAATATTTGATGTTTCGTGGCGTTTTGGAACCTAGAGAAAACCCGTACTCGCAAATACCCGGGCTCATGAATGTTACGGTCGACCTACAACTCTTCGTCGTCATCTCTTTGAAGTTTGTCTTGGATGTATAATTTGATTAGAGAATACAATCAGCAGATAAAAAGATGGCTGATAAGGTGGTGCTGCACTGCTACAAGCTGGAGCGACTAAAAATGTGACCATTTACGCCTGAATGGACATCTCTCTTCCTTGAGTTCAGTTAGTAATGATCCCTCTCTCCTCCTTCATTGGTGCGGTTCGGCTAAGTCAAGACCAAGTCAAACTTAGTTCCTACTTGGGCATCATCAGCCGACTGATTCCCCTCGAACTCCTCCACGTGATTTAAAAAAAAGAAAAAACTTTAATAAATTTAAAGAAAGAAAATAAATAAAAAAATAAAATAAAATTCCGAATCTCTTTCCCTGCAAAAAACCACTTAAAGAGCGCTAGGAAGGACCTTACAACAAAACGGCCAAATCGGCCTAAACACGGAATCATACAATTTTCTCAGGGATGAAAGAGGGTCTTCCCAGACACTTAAAACGGGTCCTTTTTTTTCTTAGCCCCCAGGGAAAAGGAGGAGAAGGGGTCAAAGTCCAAACCTTTAAAGTAGCATAACTTCTCAAAGATACTTTTTAGATGGATGATTTTGGCGTCAAAATTACCAAAAAAATGAGAGCTATCAGAATATGTACATGA